CCCCAAAACCCCAAAACCCCAAAACCCCAAAACCCCGTTTAGATTTAATACAATTGAATAAATAATTATAAATATTATGTTAACCAGAGCATTTTTGAGCAAGAGAGCTATTAACTTGGGTAGTATCAAAACATTACCAAAGAACAGTGCCAGAACTTTCGTGGTTATGAATAAGCAAGGAATTCAGGCTGGCATTAGATCAGTTACTGCTGGCGCAAAGATCGATTTTGAAAACTCCAAGAGGTAACAATCATATTTCCAATCAATAAGATTTAGTAATACTATCTAGATAGGTACTACATCTCCCATATAGTAGTGATCCTCAAAGTATCTGTATGGTTACTTTTTATCTTCGCACTTGCTTGAAGAAAAGTATTTAACTATGAAATATAGCTTGACTTCACTTCCATTCAGATTCTTCTCTGACCTTCCTCCTCATGTTAAGCTTCAGATGCCAAGTCTTTCACCAACCATGGAGAAAGGAAACCTCGCTAAGTGGTGTAAGAAAGTCGGAGATCAAGTAGAGCCAGGAGACATCCTTGCTGAAGTTGAGACTGATAAAGCCACTGTTGATTTTGAAATGCAAGAAGATGGATATGTCGCAAAATTATTAGTAGAAGAAGGAGCTCAAGATATTGCTTTGGGAGAATTAGTCGCTATTTTGGTAGAGGATGAAGATGATGTTGCAGCATTTAAAGATTATAAGCCAGAGAGTACATCAGAAGCTTCTCAAGCCCCAGTAAAGGAAGCTGCACCCTCAACTCCTGAGCCAGCTCAGTCAACTTCATCACCTGCTGCTCCTACACAAGCTGCCACTCCAACTCCAGCTGTAACCCGTAAAGCATCAGGAGATCGTGTTATTGCTAGTCCTTTTGCTAGAAAGCTAGCCAGCGAAGGAGGAATTGATCTCTCAACTATTGCAGGATCTGGTCCAGGAGGAAGAATTGTTGCTGCTGATTTAGATGGAGCATCATCCGCTGCTCAGGCTTTTGTATCCTCAGCACCAGCCTCAATCGCTTACGAAGATATTCCAGTGTCTCAAGTAAGAAAAGTGATTGCTAAGAGACTATCTGAGAGTAAAGAAACAATCCCACATTACTATGTCACCGTTGATGCTGAAGCAGACAAATTGTTAAAGCTAAGATCCATGCTGAACACTCATTCTGAATCAAAAATCTCAGTTAACGACATGATTATTAAGGCTACTTCTCTTGCCTCTAAAAAGGTCCCCCAGACTAACTCTTCTTGGCAAGGTGACTTCATCAGACAGTATAGTAACGTAGACGTGAGCGTTGCTGTCAGTACTCCAACTGGACTTATCACTCCAATTATCAAAGAAGCCAACCTTAAAGGATTGGAGACAATCTCAGCAGAAATGAAGGATTTAGCAGCTAGAGCAAGAGAGAACAAGCTTAAATTGGACGAATTCCAAGGAGGAACCATCTCAGTATCTAACCTTGGAATGTTTGGAGTCTCTCACTTCTCTGCAATCATCAACCCACCTCAAGCATGCATCTTGGCTATTGGTGGATCTCAACAACGTGTACTTCCAGGAGACGAAGAAGGCAAATACAGAACTGCTAATGTGATTTCATTCACATTGAGCTCTGACCACAGAGTTGTAGACGGTGCTGAAGCAGCTATTTGGGGACAACACTTCAAGAAATATATCGAAAATCCAGAGTTAATGCTCTTGTAAAATCAAGGATTCGGAGGAGCATTTTTAAAGTTATCCAAATACGATCATATTCAATAAAACTAACTAGTTAGGGGTTTTGGGGTTTTGGGGTTTTGGGGTTTTGGGG